TTTTTTGAGTGCAAATCAGTTTTGAGACGCCACATGCCGCATGGCATTGATATGCATTGGTGTTCTGTTTTGGTGCGTTTGGCTGAAACGTAAAAAACAATCAAGGACTTCTTTCATTATGTGGAAACCTTGCCGGAAATGAGCTGGAGACACCCAACAGCTTTAAAAAGAAAAACAACGTTTGAAAGCATGATGAAAACGACTAGATACACAACACAAAGGACTAGAGTCACAACGCCGTTGTGTGAACCACCTGAAACGACAAACAAACAAAACAACGCACAACCGATCAACAAAACGACGCCTGAGCCGCTCGACTCTTTGGCCCCCACTTTGGTGTCAATACACTTTCGAATCCCTGGAGTGCCCTTTGTGACGCCTGCACGCTTGGAATCCGGATTTAGTTTTTATTGATGGTCAATCAAAAAATCTGAAACGACTAGATTTTGGTAGGTGTTCCAGGCCCAAGGGAATACTCAAGCAACTCAAGCAACCCACTTTTGGATTGAAAAAAACGGGCCTCCGCCCCTGGACACGGCCAAGTCTCCACTCCAAAGGCTTGGAACTGGCAGGATTTTGCCTCGGGGTGTCCGTACGCTTCGCGAGGCCGGGTCCAGGGGATGCGGCTAGAAACAGGGTTGAGGAGACCGGGGTTGAGGAGACGGTTGTCTCTTCAACTTCTTGTCATTCTGGCAAGCGTTTTCGCAGTGAACCTGAATATTAAATACATGCTCTTGCGTGATGCCTGCTGCAGGACGTGCGCGGCACCAAACAAGGATCTCCAGGTGTAAAACCATATATTATGCGAATGAAGGCCAGGGAAACCATGAAGAAGGGGAACACAACTAAAGTCTCTTTGATTGCGTCCGAGAATGCCCAGGCAAATCAGCTGCACAACGTGTAGAGGTTCACGCTTCAGCGGCAACCTCTGGATGTACGGCAACCTCTGGGATAGTTCTTAGGGTCCCGAATGAGCCACAGCCAAAAACGATTGAAGAGGTTGTTGCCAGTAAATGATGCAAGGCACTATGCAAGGTCCATGTAGAAGAAAACACCCTGAAGAACTGCACATGGCAAGAACTTAAGAGCCAATCCGATCACAACCTGGATGAAGATGCTGATGGCACTCTGCTCCAACACCTTCACTGGCACTTTGCGCTCACACTCACACTTGGAAAGTGCCTTGTCTTTCTAAGTTGTCAAAGAGATCTCGTGTGTGATACCGGGCACGATTGAAGCCACTGAAAGTGGCAAACTCAAGACTGCGCAAATTGGCAGGGTGATGGCACCGGCACCGCCCACAAAGAAGTCCACGTGGTAGCCTGCCTTGAGCTTGTTTGAGGGCCCACGATCATGCTGGTTGGATTCTGGTCCACAGCTCGATACATCTCGATACCATTGGGATTCACGACGTTATTGGGCGCTTTCTCGCCAAATGCCACCACCAAGTTTGGAGAGAAGGTTGGTGTCCACAAACAGCATCGTAAACCACGGGAGTATATGCCAAGAAGGGGCCAGTTGGCCCAAGAATGGACAGTGGCTGCCATGTTGCGAAGAGCACACCACTGATGGCGGATGACATGATCATCTCCAGCACTCCAAGCTGGCCGTTTGTGCCATCCAGGAAGCGACTTCCGAAAGTGATCGCTTGGGGGCCAGAGCCGCAATGAAGAGACAAAGGAGTGGCTCTCGAGCCACTCTTGCACGTTCTCTCGCCTCTTGAGGCACCCTAACAAGTGCATCGATACTAGTAACAAGAGCATTACTAATAATACTAATAGCAAGGGTCCAGGTTCAGTTCACTAGGATGGAGATCCAAGCAAGGACACTACTAGCAGCAAGTGCATCCACTTGCAAAGAAGGGTGCACGACGCTTCAAATCCGCCCACAGGCCGCCTCCAATGCGGCCGGGCCGTAGTCCAGTGGGCCGTAGTCCTTCTTTGCACCGGACTGGCAATGTAGCCCGACTGGTTTCACACCACAGCTGCGGCCTCCGACCTTGCCGGATGCCGATACTTGCTTTGATCCGATTTGCACCTGCAATCCTGGAGCCAAGCTCTGTCTTCAGCCACAAGGGCTGGAAACAGCAAGAGCTGTATATCATTACTTAATACAGGGCATATACAGGGCGCAGGTCGAACCTGAATCATGAAACTCTCCAGCAAGGGTGGAACAATTGACCGGGTTTGTCAAGCACCTTGTGTGGTCCCCTAGCTCACAGCAATTTCATGTCCCTGACATCCCCTGGGCACCATCGAGGCCCCAGACACTCGCACAAAAATGTCATCAATCTGCGACCGTGCAATGGTGGCAGCCAAAGTCAAGGCCAAGGTCGCACGGCTGCGGCCGTCCTGGTGGATCTTGTGCGGATGTTGGCAGTACACAGCTCTCTCTTTTGGTCTTCTATTAGTTAACTTCTATGTATCTCATTGGGATTCATTGAGCTCAGAAGGGCTCTTGTCTTCAGAATCAGCTTTCTCCTCCCACTGATTGTGTGGTTTTCGAGATGCTTCCGCGTCCGTGCCGATTCCTAACCGGCCCCCGGTCCGAAGGCGCCACTCACTTCAGGTAGGGTCCCCCCCCCCAGTACAAAAACACCTCACAAACTGGGCCTTTCAGGGCGGTTCTTCGGAATTCTTCCTAGTAGTAAGGCCAGGAGCCCCTAGTAGCGTTCCTGCTCCTAGTAGCTTGATTCTGACCCACAAAATCTCCTGGCTTGCTTGTGCCCCGCAGCTCAGGATGCTGCGGCTGGAGGTCGCCAAGCAATTGAGTGGGAAGGCCACACCGGGAGGAGCGAGCAAGTCCACCTGTCATGCGAAACAGCCAAGCCGATCCGCAAATCGCACTACTTGTTAGTATGGTAGGCGAATGTAGGCGACAACAACAGATACACTCCCTCCAACAATCATGGAAGTGGATTTTCCTCTACAAACAGGTGGTTTTCATGTTTTCCATTACATATAATAGTTTCCTCGGAGTGTCCCTTCAATGCTCATCATCTCGCCCTTTCGCACAGCTATCTCTTTTGTTGTGCCCAGCCATCTACATAGCTTTGCAAAGCAGTGTCAATCCTACAACCTCAATCCAACAGTAGTCCACCTTCAGCAAAGGACGTGGACACGGTGTCATCACTGCTCCAAATCAAGTCATTCAAGGGGTCCCCTTCAGGGAATAAACATGCAAACAAACTGACAAACTTGCTTTTGAAGGGGCTGTAGTGAATCGACTTGGTCAAACATGTAGGAACTGAATAACCGATATTATATTGCTATACTATTGACAGGGTCCGTGGTAGGGATTTAGGCGGCAAACGTGCCCAAAGAGTTGGACACGTGAATCACAGAACCATACAGATCCTCCAAGAGACACAAATGCAAGCAATATATGGTGAGTTGGTGCATGTTGCTAGAGCTTGAACTTGAGCTTCCTTCTCGGGAACCTGGGGAGTTCCATGAGTTCCATAGGGTGGTGGGCTGTTCTGGTCATTTTGGGCTGTTGGTTCATTGTCCATGTGGGCTTCGTTCATCGTCTCCACCGCCCAATTCGGCCAGTGAGGCATGTGTCACTTCGGCCCCATTCGGATCAATGCTGATGCCCAGAACCACCTGCACGGCAGGTCGATCTGAAAATGCCAAGCAGGAACGTTCTTGGGTTGAGCTCAACCCAAATAGGTATAACTAGGTCACTTGCTCCACTTGCTACGTTCTATCTATATCTAGATTGGAAGGAGAGAGCTGAGTAGCTGCAGGTTCTTAACATTCCTCAACACCATTTAGCATGCTCACATGAGTTGCCGTCGTATCACACACCCCCGGTCCGGTCGCCGATGCTTGGCCTCTGAATTTGGAGCAACTGATACCTAAAGCCAAGGAGCTACGAAACAAGCGGTTGCTTTCGAAGCATGCAAAGCAAGGAGCGCTTGTAAGCTGCGATGCCAGTGTCCAGTGCCAGTGTCTGTGTCTCAAATAAAGCTGCAAACCACACCGTTCGACTGTTGACGCCCTTCTCCGATCAACGTCCGATAGCTGCGTGGTGCACGAAGCATTGAACACATGGCCCGTATGCACAAACCATATGTGAACCTCTAAACTTACACGGACGCGGATTTGGCGTCGGCCCGCCTGACATTTGGTTTCAGATCGAAGACGCAGCAACGATAGTGATGTTGATCTGACAATGATAATTAATCCATGATACGATACGATAAAATAGATCAATATGAAACAAAACATAAGAACATAACATTTCATCAGGCGTGTTCTCTTTCAAGACCATTTCCTTTGACACCATGCACGCGGGTTAAGTGGAATGAAGTGGAGAGTCTACGAAGTTCCGACTCTCAACGTCCGTTGAGACCACCAGGGCCACCGGCCGGAGAGACCACCAGCGACAGGACGCTCGCGAAGGGTAGAGCTGGGGTGAACTGGCCGTCGTTGGTACCTGGAACACGAAAGACTGGAACTGATGGCCTCCACCTGTTGTGAAACCAGCTAATATTAATGGCCTCCAAGCTAATAGTAATGGCCTCCAAGCTATGATAGTAATGGCCTCCACGCTAATAGCATCTAATAGCGATGGCCTCCAGCCTCCAATCTAATAGCGATGGCCTCCAAGCTAATAGCGATGGCCTCCAATCAATTAGCGATCCTAGAATCGATGGCCTCCAATCTACTAGCGATGGCCTCCAGCCTAATAGTGATGGCCTCCAATCCAAAAGCGATGGCCTCCAAGCTAATAGCGATGGCCTCCAGCCTAATAGTGA